ATGAAATAATCTCCACATTTTTAAAAATTTTTCTTTATTTAAGTTCTTTTTCTGAGCTTTGTTTCCTAAGAAAGCAAGACTCAGATAATCGCATGCCTCCATGAGTGTATGTCTCTCCCTTCTAATAATTTTCAAATTTCAAATATGAGTGGGACTTAACAGTCTTAAAGGTTCTAAGTTCATTTAAGATGCATGAAAATAGGCAGCGGGATAGAGGAAAAGGATCCCATTAATGCCCATAGTGAGGAAGATGCTGCTGAGGATTATGATAAAGTAAGATGCTGCTGAGGAGTTTAATTATAGGGAATCCATGCAGAATATATGTATTAGAGAGCTCAGTCAAAAGAAGTGGATCCAGCCGAATATTGGACTATTGCATACGAGAGTGTTCAGGCACAGGACATGCATGTGCAGGAAACCAGGCTGTGTGGTTTGTTACTTAGAGAAGCTTTAACATATGATGCCGTTATTATATCCAAATTCTTAAACAAACTTTGAAAAGAAAGTCTTCATTTACTGGTGCATATGTTAAATGGTGCAAATTTCATGTTATGTAGAAAAGCATGGGGGAATATCCTTCTACTGGTTTTTACAGTTTTTTGTTTTATGCTTATGCTTTTTTTTGCTTTTACTGCAACAGGTAGTGCCATAGGAAGTGATGATATCATAGCGGGGAACGTGAGCAAGTACACTGTTCTCCCAGCTGGTTATTGTGGACAGCTTAAAAAAGGACATCTTATATTTGATGCCTGTTTTGAAAGTGGTAAGCATTTTGAGCATTATTTTATGTTACGGAGTTGTCTAATATATTAACACTTTTAACTATAGCACTCATCTTTATAAAAGTGTCTTAATTCTAAAGAAAACTTGCATTAAATACTTCTTAACTCACTGATTCACTTCAGTCAGAGTATGACATAAAATCAGACTGTTCAAATGTAAAAAGGGTTGTGAAGTTTGTTATTACCTACAATGTACATTTCATCTGGTCCATCTCTTACCACATGTAGATACATAACTGGGTTTTATTCTATTGTTATATACAGTATCTGTAGACCACTAATCAAAGATGTAGCATTTAAAATATGTTATTTTAAAATCTGATTTGGAAGTTTTGTGGGGAAGTTAACCTCGTAAAGTGCCAAGCCCATCCTTGCATAGTTAGAAGATTTTACAAATGTACCTGCTGTCTTTAAATATATTTCTCTGTGTTTCTTGTGGCCTAATTCTGTACTGCTGAGGTTAATGGAAGTTCTGCCTCTGATGTCAATAGAAAGAGAATTAAACTTTAGGAAGCTACTGCAAATTGAAAGAGAGATTATTTTTACAAGAGTTATAATTAGCATATTAATTTAAAGAATATTTTAAATCATGTATGTTTATATGCGTGTGGGGTATGTAGGTAAATATATATATGAATATGTAGCATTGCTTAAATTTTTGTGTTACATATATGTCTGTCTCCAGATTTTCAGCTTAAATCTATTATTATTGGCTTACAGACCTACAGAGCACTGTTAAACACCATATGTACAAAAGGCGTTTGGCAGGATAAACTATAGTTTTCAGCATGGTTTATGTGAGAGGTGCTGGTGATGCCAAAACTGCTACACTGTCTTGTAAAATGAGCTTTTTATGAAGAGTTATGTCCCTTAGGGTAGAATACTGGCTGCCAGTTCCTGGATAAATATTAAATTGAGTTATTTAAATCCTTTGATTATATTATGTAAAAGGTGTAAATGATGCAGTGAATAATAAAGAGTATCTTATTTTTAAGGTATGTCTCTGAAGGTTCAGACAATAGTTACGTATTTTTAAAAATACTTTGGATGCTATTTCATAATAGTTATGGTTTTATGAATTTTTGTATCAGAAAATGGCTTATGAAATTAATCAGTTGGCCAAGCTGAGAAATTTACTTTATTGTGTTAAGCTGCTTTGCAATGAAAAGGATCAGTAGCAGCCATCAAATTATTTGTGAAGTAATGTGAATCATTGCATGATGCTTTAATTCCGGTTTTTGAACAATAGAATTAATTATATTTTGAAACTAAAACATTTATTCAGTTCAAAGGTAACCTTCATACTTTATATACTTTGACAATAATAGCATGTGATAGAGGCAGATGCTATTTGAAATACCGTGTTTATTTACATTGTAGCATGATGAGGCTGTGATGATGCTTTGCATATTCAGACACCTCCAAAATACAAATATGAATGAAATTAGTACCTTCATTTACTTTCTCATGATGATGATGTATTTGCAAGAATGATAATAATATTGTGTACACTTCATATGTAAATTCACTTTATCTTTTGTTGTATGTCAGCCAAGTAATTGCTTAGAGTACCTTAACTGGTCAAAGCAAATTAACTGATTATTGGATATTTTATGAAATTGTTATCAATGCTAAAATCTATCTCTTCCTATTATCCAAACAGTAGTATACAACATTTATACAGTAGTGTATTGATGCTCTTTAAGTACCACCTTAAAATGGTAATTTCCTATTGGAATTGCCTTTTTCAAAGAACAGATTATAAAACTGATCCCACCTGGAGTACTGCATCCAGCTGTGGGGTCCCCACTACAAAAAATACATGGACCTGCTGGAAGAATCCAGAGGAGGGACACGAAAATGGTCAGAGGGCTGGAACACCTCTGCTATGAAGAAGGGCTGAGAGAACTGGGGATGGAGTTCTTCAGTTGCCTGGAGAAGAGAAGGTTCTGGGGAGACCTTATTGTGGCCTTTCAGTATATAAAGGGGGCTTATAAGAAAGATGGGGACAGACTCTTTACCAAGGCTGGTAGGGACAGGACAAGGAGCAATGGTTTTAAACTGAAAGAGGGTAGATTTAGATTGGGTGCAAGGAAGAAATTTTTTACAATGAGGGTGGTGAGACATTGACACAGGTTGTCCAGAGACGTTTGTGGATGCCTCATCATTGGAAGTGTTCAAGGTCAAGTTGGACCTGGCTTTGAGCAACCTGGTCTAGTGAAAGATGTCCCTGCCCATGGCAGGGGGGATGGACTAAATGATCTTTAAAGGTCCCTTCCTACCCAAACCATTCTTTGATGCTGTGATTCTATGAAAACAGGTCACATTGATTTTATAATAATTCCAAGTTATCTTGGACCTAAATATATTTGTTATCTTATGGACCTAAATATACCTGAAGGAAATAGACTGTTTGGATATAATTTATAGATTTTTTCTAAGACCTGTGCTTTGTCTGAATGATGATGTTGTTACTAAACATGAGTATGTCATTGAAATCTATGATCCCTCATACTTAAGAGGTATTAAAGGTTCTTTACAGTTAAAGTTTTGTAAGGACTTATTAAATCTTTAAAAATAAACACAATGCAATTAAAAACCACAATACTTATACTATACAGTGATTATAACTCTATATCTAATGTAACTTTAGTAGAACTTTTGAATTGGTTTATATAATGTTTTCACTGCATATGATCTTGGTCTTAATGAAGCTATGTTAAGATGGAGCAAAACTGGCTGGACAGTGGTACCCATGGAGTATTTGTTGATGATTTGCTTTCAAAACAGAAGTTGTGTTAAATGTGATTCCATAAGTGGCTTTCCTCTCTTTGGCTGCATTCTGTATTTTCTTGAAAGATCTGGTTGATAGAACTGAGGGTTCCCTCCTAGACCTATTTTTCAATGACTATGATTTTATATTGCAGAAATGGAAGTAAATACCTTTCAGAATAGAGAAAGAGTATTAAACTTGTAGAAATCAGGAAAAAGATTAACACATACAGAAGAAATGCTATTTAATATGCTTTCATTTTTGTAATGGCTATCATTATTTTATTAAATAGTGTTGACAAGTATGAATTTGTTTGAGACAGAAGTGTGTTTTTATGTACTCTGAAAACTGATGTCCAGTTTGCTGTTTTGAAATGCCTTGCTTTCAAAAAATCATAAAAAATAGGATTGAAATGGGCATTGGGATTTCTTTTTAGTCCACTCTGTTGTTGAGAGGCAAAATACACTATTTTTGCCATTTCTGACAGGTATTTATCTATCCTTTTCAGACACTTTCAGTGAGGAAAGTTTCAATGAGAAAGCATCAATCCATTCTAACGCTGCAATTTGCTCAATATAAGAAACGTTTCCTTTCTGTGTAGAAATGTTCTTACCAAAAATGCATGAATTCTTGTCCAGTCCTGTAGGCACAGAAAGCAGATTATTCCTTTCTTCTTCGACTTAATAGAAAGCTGCTATCATATCTTTCCTTGGCCTTTCCCTCCTCAGGTTAAATAACTGCTATTTTTTTCAATAATTCCTTAGTGGTCACATTTTCCAAATTTTCTATCATTCTTTATTTCCTCTGGTCTTTCTCCAGCTGTTCCATGCCTTTCTTGACAAGCAACGGTCCAAGGTGAACATGATACTCAGATAAGCTGGTGCCAATACTATGTAGAGTTTATTACATGACATGCCTTGCAATCTATTTACTTCTGCTATATGACAGTCCAATCTTTTTCACAATAGCATGGCACTGTTGACTTCTATAAAATTTATGATCCCTTATGCTGCCCAGATCCTTTTCAGAAGAAGAGCTACCTAACCAGTTTGTAGTTTGCACTTAACTTACCCTTAATGAATCTAATACTAGTGAAAGAATCATTGCTGTAAAATAAATACAATTATTGAAAATGAAGAATGGTGGTTGAACCCTTTATCTTATAATAACAGACAGAGGAGTGAGGGAGAGAGAGAATTATCAACTTGCTAGTATGTCAGGAATTTGAATTTGTGTTTCCCATAGTTCAAGCTAGTGTCCTAACTGGAATCTTCCTTGTTATCTTTATTAATATTTAAGAATATATATGGCCAAAAAACTTTTTACACTGGTTTATCATTAGCATAAAAAAAACTGATGAAAATTCAGATTTCTTGCATACCATAACATAATTTTTGGATAATGTCAATTTTCACAAGAAACATGAGTTAGTTTCAGGGAAAAATGGAAGCACAGTAATCTATGCATAGAACCAATTTAAAGGAAATAAATGTCACATTTGAAATGTATACATTTGGTCAGTAGTAATTCCTTTTCCTATTATTCATTAATGCATTAAAGTATTAACAAAGTTTCAGTTTAGCAGCAATGCAGTACTGTACAAATGTTCATCTCTCATCCTATCTGTTCTGGCAAAACTGGGAATTTTGCAGAATATAGTGCTTCAGGAAAAGGATGTATTCATTCTTGCTATACAAAGAAGTCCTTCCTGATTGAGTCAGGCCCAGATTTTGATGTAAAAATGTTCTTCGGGGGATCTGGCATCTTATACTCAAGGCGAATTGATATTTCAGATATTTTATTTTGTGTGGATCTGAATGACTTTAAAGTTTAGTTTAGCCAGCTGCCCCTACTGTCTTGTGTTAGCTTAGTGCATATTATTTCTGATGGCATCAATTTAGTAAGCAGCCTCTTTGGTGTTATGACTAAGGTTTGTTTTTATTTGCTTAGTCATTTTTTCCTGTACCAGATGTTTTTGGAGATGATACCTCCAGTGCTGGGAAACAGCTTTTTCTGGTAACTTATGTAACTGCAGTAGCTTTGCTTCTGCATGAGGTAACATTTAATTTATTAATTTTACATGATACACATGAAGCCTTTCACATGTATTTTGCAAAGTGAACAAAGAAAACATAAAGCGAATGTCTCAAATCTTAAAGAGAGACCACTATTTTTATGGCACTGATGCCAGTTCAACCCTTTGCGCAG